GGGAAAGTATATCTACACCAACTTCCCAGAACCAGAAGACTTCTTCAGTTTCTTTTATATCTTTCATGTCTCTGTTTAGCATACTTAATCTTCCCTCTACCTTCTTGAACATATGGAATATAATTCCATTTCTAAGGTTCCTATGTACTAATTCTAACATCTCTGTCTTTTCTGGGTCTGTTTATATTGAGTGATTTTTCTCCTCATTATGAGTCATGTTTTCTGGCTTCTTTCTATGCCTAGTAATTTTTATTGAATGCCAGACATTGTGAAGGTTACCATGTTGAGCACTGGATAGTTTGTATTCCTATAGTCTCCCACTTTGTTCTAGGATACAATTAAGTTACTTGGAAACAGTTTGATCCTTTCAAGGCTTATGTTTAAGCTTTATTAGGTGGGGTCAGAACAGCCTTCTGGGGCTAATGCTCCCCCACTACTGAGTGCTTTAGCACATATCCCATGAATGACAAGGTTTTTCCATTCTGGCTAATGGCAACCTGAACTGTTCCCATCCCTGCATGAGCTGCAGAGAACACCCTCTCTAATCCTTTGAGCAGTTCTTTGCCCGGCCTTAGGTAGTTTCTTTGCACATGTGAGCTAATCAGTTGTCAGCTAAAGACTCGAGGGGGGCTCTGTAGAGCCCCAGAGTTCTCTCTCTCTCTCTGAGCAGCACTCTCCTCTTCCGTCCTCTGCCTGAGAATCCCAGCCACCTTGACTTCCCAAACTCTCAGCTCCATCTCCTTAACTCAAGGAGACCACCAGGTTCCACCTGGGTTGCCTTGCCCTACACTGCAGTCTGGAAACTTCCGGCAGGAAGCCGAGATAATCGTAAGGCTCACCTTGTTTGTCTCCCATATCTCAGAGATCACTGTCCTGGGCTGCCTGATGTCCAGTGTCTACAATCCCTTGTTTCATATATTTTGTCCAGAATTTTTTAATTGTTAAAGGCAGCAGGACAAATCTGTTCCCTGTTATTTCAACTTGGATATAAGCGAAGACTCCCAAAGATGTAATTTTGAATGAAAAACACAAGTTGTTACCAACAGGTACATCCGGTTCTTTACCACTTACGTAGCTTTGTAAAACAGTGCTTGTACAGTGCAATGTAACACCCTATATTATTCACGGATAATAATAGCTAACATACATAGCACCTTCCAGGTATTGGGCACTGCTGTGTAAGTGCTTTGCTTACCTTATTTTTACTTTTAGAAGAAACAGTCTGGGGCCCAGAGATGTCTAGTAACTTGCTCAAGGTCACACAGCTAGAAAGAAACAGAGTTAGACTGACTTTAACGTAGGAAGTCTGGCTCCTGAGTTAATGCCCTTACCATTAGATGGCTCTGCCTGTCATGCATATCTGTGATGAGAACAGGGACAGGAAGGACACATACCAATTTCAATTCCTCTGAGAAGAGGAGGGGCATGAGCTATGGGTGCTGGGGCTAGGGATGGGGCTTAAACTGTGTTCATATGATTTCTTTCCTAAAATAATAATAATAATAATAATAATAATAATAAATAAAATTTAAAAACCAAAGCCATTATAAGTAGAATACTGTTAACATTTGTTCAATCCTGGAGTACATGGGCATTTGTACTTTGAAATATAATTTTAAAATATTTTCCTGTGGGGGAAAATAAGGAAAGACAAAATAAAGGGTCACTACCACAGGCTAGCAATGCGCAGTGGGAGAGAAAGGCAGGCAGGTCAGGCGGGAAAGGCAGGGGCTGACCCCGGCCCTTCCAGACTAAGGACTAACTCTCCGCGTGGCCCCCCCTCCCCCAGCACTCCCAGGACCTGGCCCAAAGGCCAGGACATGCCACTGCTTGTCATTCTGAGGTTATGATGCGGCCCTGAGCCTCCTCGCCTCCTTTCACCTGACTTCTCCCACCAGGAATGCCCTCCCAATCCCGTTCCACTACACCCTACCCCATGGGCAAGGACTAGCTCAAAGCCTTCCTCTTTCCGGAAGCCTGGGGACCCGAGAGCACCTCTGGGTTCCAAACAGCAGAGGAGAGACCAGCCAGGCTACACAAAAGGGGAAGGGAGATTCTGAGCTCACGTGATAAGGCCTGGGAGGGGCAGGGGATGGCTTGATCCAGACACTGAGCATCTTGGAGCCTCTCTGTGTCTTTCCCATGTTCTCAGACAAGCTCCTCCCCACGGCGGGAGGCATGGCCCCAGGTCCATATCTCCACAGTTTGGATGAGAGACACAAAGGACCTCTTGCCTCTATCTGAAGGTTTAAAACAGCCCAGGAAAGCTCAGGCAGAGGTTATGGACCACAGCTGGGATTATGTACCCACTCCTGAAGTCTGAGCAGCGGTGTCTGCACAGAAGATGAGGAGGCCCGAGCAAACCAAACTCAGCAAAACCACACCTTCTCTAATTCGCCCCAGCAGTTTCCATCTCTGTCTCCTGAGTCCCAAGAAAAATGGTTTGTCCCATTCTTCATTCAACAACATCGAATCCAAAGGATTCGCTGAATACCTACCATGTGCCCAGAAGGACAAAGATGACTTAGATCCCAACCTTGTGGAACAGGAAATAAGGTGTGTAAAAGGATTGTTGCAATGCAGTATGGGAAGTCAGCAAGAGAAGCGTGTTATCAAGTGGGAACCCCAGAGGATGACTTGGAGAAGGGGGATTCGAGCTACATCTTGAAGAATAAATAGGAGCTTTCTGGGTGCAGAGCTGGCAAAAGGGGTGGAGTGTGGGGGACACACTACAGACAAGGAAATGTGTGAACAATGGTATGGATGCACGATGGGGCACCGCAAGCTTAGGGGACAGTGAGAAGGTCGCTGGCTGGGGCCGGTGTCAAGGGATGTGAAGCATCAAGGCTGGAGAGGAATTCGAGGCAGATCAAGAAAGTTCTTGACTTTCCATAGTAAAGGGTTTGCTCTTTGTGGTGTAGGCAACACGGAGCTGTTAGAATTCCATGAGCTGGACGCATAGCCTCATCTTAGCTGTGCTTTATCCTGATAGCTACAGGGAGGTAGGCTTGGAAGTGGAGGGGGCGCCATGGAGGACAAGAATCANTCAACATAGATACACAGCAAAGACATAGTAATTCTCTGTGTGTGCATTTTACAGCTTGTTTCCAGTGTTGGTATTTTACGCCTTCTCCTTTTTATTCCTGTTCAGTCCAGCTACAGATTTATTGATGTTATTGATCTTCTCCAAGTATAACTTTTTAAAAATAGCCTCCTATTTGGAAAGGTTTCAGATTTACAAAACAGTACAGAAAGTTCTCATGTATCCTTCATCGTTGCAATTCCCCCTAATGTTTATTATCTCACGTTACTGTTGCTCGTCTGTCAAATGTGAGAAACCAACACGGGTATACCACTATTAACTAAACTCTAGACTTTGCATCGTACCCTGCAGACTACGAATGAATACTAAGGGAATCCCAAGAACAACTCTACACACCTCTGCAGGCTTGTGACTCTTGGCTTTGTTTTGGTTTGTATTTGACAAATAAAATAAAAAATTGTGTATTTTAAGGTGTTCAGCATATTTTGATACATGCATCCATTAGGAAGTGATCAAACTAATTCACACATGTGTCACCTCCCATAGTTACCCTTTGATCAATACTTTTCCTTCACTCCCCCAGCCTCTGACAACTTACCCATTCTCCTCTCTGTTACTGTAAATTTGAGGGTTTTATTTTTTGTTTTCGTGGGCTTCTTTACGTTCCACATATGAGATCATGCCATGTTTGTCCTCCGTGCATGGCTTATTTCGCTTAGCATAATGTCCTCTAGGTTCATTTCCTTTTTTATGGCTGAATGATATTCCATTGTAGTATAGATACACCACGTCTACTTTACCCATTCGTCAACAGACACTCAGATTGTTTCCATGTCTTGGCTGTTGTGAATAATGCTGCAATGAACATGGGGGTACAGGTATCTCTTCCAGATACTAATTTCCTTTCTATAAATACCCAGGAGTGGAATTACTGGATCATATGGTAGTTCTGTTTTTAATTTTTTAAGGAACCTCCATACTGATTTCCATAGCAGCTGCACCAATTTACATTCCCACCAGCAGTGCACAAGGGTTCCCTTTTCTTCACACTCCAACATTTATCTTTTGACTTTTTGATAATATTGTAGCTGTTCTATAAGGTGTGAGGTGATATCTCATTGTAGTTTGATTTGCATTTCCCTGATGATTGGTGATGTTGAGTACCTTTTCATATACCTGTTCACCATTTGTATGTCTTCTTTGGAAAAATGTCTATTTGAGGTCCTTTGCCCATTTTTTTAATCAGAATCTTTTTTGCTACTCAGTTGTATGAGTTCTTTATATATTTTGGATATTAATCCCTTATCAGACATGTGGTTTACAAGTATTTTCTCCAATTTGGTAGGTTGCTTTTTCATCTCATTGACTGTTTCCTTTGCTGTACTGAAGTTTTTTTTAATTTTGTGTCAATCCATTTTTTCATTTTTATTTTAGATGCCTGAGCCTTTGGTATCAGGTCAAAAAAAAAAACAAAACCCTTCCCGAGACAAATGTCAAGAAGCTTTCCCCTAGGCCGGCTGAGTGGCGCATTGGTTAAGAGTTGTCTCGGGACGCCAGCTCTGAGCAGCAGGGCCCCGGTTCAGATCCCACATGAGGGCCAGTGATGCTGC